AAAAGAATTCAGTTACTTCACGACTGTTCGATTATTAGTATCCACAATCGTCTTTGGGTAATGCCACACTTTCTTGATTGTATTTTGTTTTATTTTAATCTGATTTCAGAGTATTTTTGCCTAATATGATTGTTATTTTCAGCTATTCATTTTGATTTTCAATTGAATTGTGTCTTTCAGAGATTTCAAATCTTTTTATGTCATAGTAAACAATGCATTTTTGAGGCACAGTTTGGAACCTTTGATGTAGTAATGAATATTACTGGAGTTTTTTTCCAACACCAAACCGTTATTTCAACAACTCGACACGTGTTTCGATCACCAAGTGATCATCTCCAAGAGGATGATCAAACTAATCATACGTATGAATGAATACGTTTATTATGTCTCTTTAGGTGTGTTACATGTTTTTATGAATTTACAATTTTTATGTGCCCTGCTTTAGGCTCATGCCTCTTCAGGGGCTGTGTTGTTTGGTGTTTATATAGATATAATAAAGAAAAATTAGGGTTAGTGTTTGTGTTTAATTTTGTGGTGTCCAGTGTCCCGGTTTGTCCGTTGGCCTTCTTTCCTTTGTGTGTAGATCTTCTTGGTTGTTTGTCGGGTTTCGTCGCTGGTTCCGGTGTTTTCGGTCGGGTCTTCCTTGGTTGTGGTTTGGTCTTTATCTGATTGACAGCGGGAACTCGTCTACGATGTCTTGGGAATCCCTCCGGTATATCCTCCAGGGCTCCCAGTAGTCTGGTTGGGGGAAATGGGAGTTCCTTCCTTGGTATCCTCCTCGCGCCCCCGCGGGGTCTCCAGGGTGTGGTCAGTGTTTCCTTGGCTGCAGTGTTGTTGCTGTTCATAGTTCTTTCGGTGTATTTTCTTCGGAGTTCCTGTAATCTAATGTTTATTGGGGTTAGTTTTGTTGTTTGGTATAGTTCATTGGAGGGGAATCGGTAGTGTAGGTTATGTATGTTTCGGAGTATTCTCCTTTCTGTGGCTTGTAGTCGGTTTGTCAGTCGTGTTGGTATTGTGCTGTAAATTATTGCTTTATAGTCCATGATCGGTCGTATGTATGTTTTGTATGTGTGCATTAGTGTTTGGCTGTTGCATCTCCCGAGTTTCCCCTCGAAGCTTTCAGGAGATTTGCTCTTCTCCTGACTCTGTCCAGGGTTTCTCTGATGTCGGTTTCCCAATTGAGTGTTCTCGTGAAACTCACGCCTAGGTAGGTCACCGAGTCTTGGAGTTGGAGGTTTTCTCCTAGAAGTCTGAGGTTCAAGTTATCGGGGTTAAGTCGGGATCGGTTAGTTGTGTTTGGGTGTCGGAATAGGATTGTCTGAGTTTTTGTAGGGTTTATCTGGATGCGCCATTTGTTGCACCATTGTGTGAAGTGATTTATCATGGTTTGTGTTTGTGTCTGTAGTTTTTGGGTGTTGGATGCGGAGGAGTATAGGATGGTATCGTCGGCGTATTGGAGTATTTTTTGGGTTGTGGGGGTGTCGTGGACGAAAATTAGGAATAGGATAGGAGCTAGTATGGAGCCCTGGAGGGCTCCAGCTTTGGGTGTGAATGGGTTGGAAAGTGTGTTGTTGATTTTGATTTGTATTTGTCTGTTTGTGAGGTATGAGGCTATCAGCCTGCGTGCCAGACCCTATCGAAAGCTTTTTGTATATCGAGTAGCACAGCTAACGTGCCGAACGAGGCGTTTATGTTTTGTGTGATGTGTGTTTGTAGCTCTATGAGAGTGTTTTGTGTTGAGTGTTCGACCCTGAAGCCGTGTTGGTGTGGTGGTATAATGTTGTGTTCTTGTAGGTAGTCGGTGAGTCTGTCGGTTAGTAATCTTTCAAGTAGTTTGCCTAGGCAATTGAGGAGGCTGATTGGTCGGTAGGATTCGGGGTTGATAGGGTCTTTATGAGGTTTGGGGATCATTATGGTGTTTCCAGGCCTTGGTGAAGCACGCTAGGGTTATGCATGATTTCAGGATATCGCTAAGGTATGGTAGGATGGTGTCTGGTAGGTTTCTTAGAGTTCTGCGGTTTATTGTATCTGGCCCTGGGGCTATGTTTTTTCCGCGTTGGATGGCCTTGAGAATGTCGTCCTCGCTGATAGGGGATCGAAGGGGGCAGTGTGGTCAATCGGGATTGGTCCTGGGTGTCTGCCTAGGTGTGTGGTGATTTGTTGGTGTATGTTGTTCATGTGTTCGATGTCGAAGTGTTCATTGGTAGGAATATTGTACGTCGTTCTAAGTGTTTATCAGAAGGCTTCAGCTTTTTCTGTTGGGTTGGAGATGGCGTTGTCTTCGATCATTAGGTGGCTGGGTGTTTTTTGCTTCTGTCGTGTAAGTATTTTGAATTTGTTCCAAAATGCTGAGCCGTTTTTGTAGTCTAGTTTGCTTGTTTCTTCCATCCATCTTTTCTGGGTGAAAAGATTGATGAGTAGGCGTATTCTTGCGTTTTGTCTGTTCCATTCCGTTTTAGTAGCGGGGTCTCTAGTTTTTATGTAGGTCCTGTAGAGTTTTCTTTTGTTGCGGATTAGGTTTACTAGGTGGGGGGTAGTGGAGTTTAGTCGCATCGTCTAGTTGTTTTTGGTGTGGATTCGTCGTTTTAGTTGTGGATGAGTGTTTGTATTTTGTCGATTCGTGTGTCGATGAGTTTGTTGTTATCAAGGGTAGGTCTGCTGATTTGTGGTAGGTTTTGGTTAATGTGTCTTTGGAATTTTTTGAAGTCGGTGTATTTGAAGTTTTTGTATGTGATGTATTCGGGGGTGATTGGAATTTTGGGAGTCTAGGAAGGTTTTGACTAGGAGGGGAAGGTGATTGTGTCGCCAGTGTAGGCCTGGTCATCCATCGCCTCCATTAGGTTTTCTGAACATAGGATGTGGTCGATGACTGAGGCTCCCTGTTGGCTCAGGAACGTCGGGTCTGGGCATGGGATTCTGTATGGGTTGTGTTCTAGTAGGTAGTTAGTGAGTAGTCTTTCGTTTGTGTTGGTGTCTCCGAATTGTGTATGTCTTGCGTTGAGGTCGCCTATTAGAAAAGATTTAGGAAGGGATGAGGTGTATTCCATGATTTCTCTAGGAAGTGTTTGGTGGTAGTGGTTATAGAGTGTAATTATGGTTATTGTGCTGTTGGATATGTATAGATCGATTGCGAGACAATCGAGAGATAAGATATGTGGGGGTTAGGAGTGTTTTTATGTGGTATGTCGTGTTTGATGAAGATGGCTATCCCGCGAGAGTTTTGGTCCTTTGGTCTGTGTATTGTGTGGTATCCTGTGAAGTGTGGTGGGTTCCTTGTTAGTGTGTCAGTGATGCCTAGTATGTGTATTTTGTGTGTGTGTAGTAGTAGTTTGGTGTGCTGCCTCTTGCGGGTTAGCCCTTGGGCGTTTACGGTTCCGAGGAGAAAACGTCCGTTCTCTTGCGTCGTGTGTCTATTGTCCATTAGTTTCGGGTGTGATTTCGGTAAATACGTATTCGATTTTTTTTCCGTGTGCTGTGGCGAATATCGTGTGTCCCAGTATGGTCTTGCAGAGCTCGTTGGTTATCGTGAGGATTTCGGTTCTCATGTCAGGGAGGATGTTCAGGAGTAGTGTAGTTTGTAGCTTTATGATGGCTTCTATTTGTTTGGTAAGAACGGCTGTGGTGGTTTATTTGACTGTAACTGGAGCTACCTCCTTTGGGTTTTCTGGTTNACTGTTGTGGTGGGTTCTTTAATTGTTACTGGAGCTACTTCCTTTGGGTTCTCAGGTTGGGTGGCTCGTTTTGGGCATTTGAGAGAATATGCCGGGTGTTCCCCACTGCAATTTGGGCAGACTGGATTATTTATTTTTGTGCACTTTGTCGAAGTGTGCGCTTCTCCGCAGTGCGGGCATTTCGTTTTGTGGGTAGGGCATTCCTGCGCTTGATGCCCGGTGGTGCTGCATATACAGCAATATTTAGGAATTGGTGGTACCGGATTTAGATTGGAGGCTTCGCATTCATGTGTTCTTCCGTATATGCTGATTCCCTTGGTTAGGCTCTTGGAGTAATGGTCCTTGTTATTTGTGATGATTCTTATCAATGGCGTTGGGTTGCCAGTCCTTCTGGAGATGATTCTCCATAGCTTAATGTAGTGAATTTTTTCCTCATCCAAAAAATGGATGATTTCGTCCTCAGTTATGTTTAGGTCCACTCCTTTTATTACATATGAGAGGTGTGGTGTGTTAGTTGTGTTGTTTTTTGTTTGGATGTTTGGTCGTAAGTCGATTACTTTTATTGTGATGTCGCCTGTTCTTTGTCTGATAATTTTTTGAAGAGTTTCTGAAGTTTTGTCCGTGTTTGTGGTTTTTAATAGTGCTGTTCTTTTATAGCTCACTTTAAGTTCTGTTATTTGTCCTCGTAGTATTTCTGTCGTGTTTAATAGGTTATATAGTGTTTTCTGATTTGAAAGTGTTTCCGCGATGTCTCTTATGTTTAGGATTTTTTCTGTTGGTCTGTTTGGTGTTTCCGGTGTGGGAGATCTTGTTGGGGGTTCAGAGGAGAAGGATGGTGAGGGACTAGGTTCAGGTTGAGGTGAGGAGAGAGGGTTTGTTATTTTTTTTGTTGACCTTGTTCGGGTCATGGTCAGGCCGATACTACCTGGTGTCCTTGAGCTTGATTTTCTGACGTCCTGGATGTTGGTGGCTGGGTTCGTTTACCTGGGTTAGGTAGGTGTTGCCTTGATTTTACCTGTATCAGGTATTTCGTTTTGAGTGATTTCCTTTTACCTGGGGAGTTATCTCTGCTCCTTCTTCGGATGGATGTGATTCTGGGAATCAGGGATCCGTCACGCACTATTCTGAGGTATTTCTTTTTGGTATAGGTAGGTCACTATTCACTTTCACTTTACACTTTCACTTGTTTGGATTCAACCTTTGCGGGATGAGATCTAACACTGAACTGGACGATTGTGGCTAGGTTTTTTGCCTTATATAATTTTTATTTTCAGCTATTCTGTATAAATTTTCAATTTTATTTGTTCTCTCAGAGATTTCTCATCATATTATATCATATCAGACAATGGAAGTCCGAACTAATGAAATTCACAATGAAACATTGCAACCACCTTCAAACAAACGTAGATACAAGATGAGGTTCGATCGTCCAAGTATCCATAGAACACATGAAGTTGAGGATATAACAGAGATAAGTCAAGCTCCAGATTTTGGTTTTTCTGAAAAAAAAAACTGGTGATGAAAAGAAGGTTGTTTATTATTGGTTCATTGCAAATCATTTTTGCGTTTTTTAAAGAAAATCAATCAAATCAGGTAATTCCTGATCACATGGGCAGAATGAACCAAGGGGATAAATGCTACGCTGATAATGTTCCTATGAACATTATCACTTCCGTTGTTAAAGAGTTCGTTAAACCAGAGAGTGTTTTTTTGATAAATGTCGTAAAAAGTTTGACAGTCATTCAGAAATAAGTACACTTTCGAATAATTTTTTTGCTTGTGCCTTCAACAAATGTATAAAGTGTAAATGAAATAATTTTTTTGATTCTTCCGTTCTTTTCCAATGTGAACATAAAACAACCCCGTTGGTTAGTGCGTGAGAGATTAGGATTATTAGGGTTATGAAAATGAAAATAATACAACTGATACTATTCCTACATATTACTTTGCTGTCATAGAGATTACTCTGTAGCGAAGATTTTAGGAAATGTCAAGCGTTGGATCGTTTATGATTCAGACATTTTTAGTGAACCACTGAATGCACAATGCTGAGAAAAATATTATCCGGACGTTCAATAACTAATCAGTTACACAGGTGAAAAGCTTGAAACATTTACAAGACATTCAGGATATTCTTGAAGTTATCAATCGACGTTTGATGTTTCGGTATTCGTGATATTGCAAAGAATTATGTATCTGGATCTGAAGTAGGTATCGATTTTGGATGATGTTAACCCGATGGTTCCACCGCTAGATAACTAGCAACCAAGTTTCTTCGATTACAATCTCTGTACCAGACAATATTAAACACGTTTTGATCACCAAACGCAAATATTCAATTAATGTATCACGAAAATATAAACTTATTTGACAACACATGAATCACGTCCTTTTCTCGAATAATTCTGCTACATCGTTTTTTCGATCACTTGCAACCAGTTTTTCAATTACAGAATAAGAGAAAACGCGAATAATACATCAGTGATAGGTAGATCATATACAAGTAGGAATACTGATTTTATGTTCAATGTATTGTAGAGACTAGTGGAAGTTGCCTTGTCCGATCTAAATTTCAGAGAAGAACTGCATTTAATGAAACAAATTGCGTCTAATAGATTCTTTACAGTCCAAAAAACTGTATAATTAGGCAACGAAAAATTACCCAAATTTAAAAGACGTGGAGAGAAAATAAAGAACGTCACCTCATTTGAGATACTCATGAAGATATCCAAATTTATTGACAGATGTAGGTGTAAATGAGGCATATAAAACCAATAATAATGTGAATATGCCTATTGAAATAACAAATAGGTTATAAATTGTCGTGTGGTTGATGTCTAAAGTTTTACATATAGGCCAAACTGGAAGATCATTTAGAGAACGCATAAAAAAATCAGGTTCCAGAATGAAACTATTGAAACTCTTCATTTTTAGTAGAAAGAATTGAACGTTCTGGAACGCATGAAAATAAATGAGTTTTCGGTATACAATGAACGATCAAATTGATCTGAATAGCTCCCTTTTGTTAAATTCGTTCTTACCAAATGACCATATACGTATTCCCTCCATCACAATGTAATAATCAATAATTAATTGACTTGTTTTCACCTGAATATTATTGGAGTTTCACCCTAACACCAAACTGTTATTTTCAACACCTCGACACGTTTTTCGATCACCAAGTGATCATCTTCAAGAGAAATATTAAGCTGAATATACATACAATATTGTCCTCATTTATACTATAGACACCTCTGCTAGGTACCTGCGTCTTAATTGTCTTGAATTAATTTCACAATGTTGCCTTACCTACTGGTCTTAAATTGTTTTCACAATGTTGCCTTATCTACTAGTCGGATAAGTTTGATAATTAAAATATCATTTCAACAATCTATATGATATTCTATTAGGTGTTGGTCCACCATCGTTATTCATAATATTATTATGTTTACTTATTTCTACACTCTCATAGGCATCTAGATGCCTGTCGTTGTTAACTTTTTTAACTAATCTCAATGAACTAAAGTCTATGGAATGGTTTTGTTGCAGTATATGACTGTTGATTTTTCTGGTCTTCCATTATTTTAATAGATCTTTTAGTCTGTCCATAATATTTTGCAACGCAGTCCTTATATTAAATTTCATAAATCACAGATTTTTCCTGAACTCTTGACTTTCTTCTTTGGATTTCCTAAAAGGCTCTGTAGTGTGTGATTTTTCAAAGTTCTTCATGTATTGGTGGTATGGAACCGAGAAATATTTTTCTTGGGTTTCGTCTTTTCCAAAAGTCGAGATTTCATTCATTCTTAACCTAACCTAGGTATGAAGGTGGTATTGAAAACACGTAACACATTACAGAGCCTTTAGGAAATCCAAAGGACAAAGTCGAGATTTCGGAAATGTCTAGAATTTACGGAATTAAATGTGAGGACAGCGATGCAGTGTAGGTAATTAGAATATGAAATGGTTATAATTCAAAAGTAATTCCTGCTTGGGGAAATTATTGTATAGCGAAACATGTGTCGCGATTTTGATAACTTATCGAAGTGAAAATCATAATAAATTATCAGTTGTAAACTAATTCCAATTTAAGATATAAATACTTCAATATAAATACCTTCTTCATCATTCCATGGTTGTGTTGTTCCAGATCCAAAAATGAAAAACAGAATGGTTACTGCCATATAGATTCCAGCAGCAGAATAGAACATAATTTTCCATTGGGCTATATTTCCCTGAAATATTAAATAGAGAAAATTGTTTCAAAAGAACTTTTTTCTTTCGTGTAATTCAAAATTAACGTGAAAGTAGTAGATTTTTCATTCTTCTTTTGTTTGGAAGTTCTCACATTTTTTTATATTTCTGTTTATATTTATCCTGTTACATTCACATTTTCGGCTGTGTATTTCCGGTAATTTTTTGTTGAACTAGAAAATCTACATACATTTTATTTAAATAAATACTGAGTTGTGGTCCCTGAGTCTGAATAATTAGACTAAAAGTCTAATAGTGACTTTTGCTGCAGATGAAATTGCAGGCGATTGATATTCTTTCTAAAGCTTTTTTATTCTACCGTGAAAAACGACTTCATTGAGCGAATAATCGAAAACAATTCTTGAGATTTCCACTGTTGCAGTCAAAGTTTTCAAAAAATTCGGCTCTCAATTGATATTATAGATATGTTCCATACGAGTTATATTAATTTTTTACAAGATCACGACAGATTTAGAGTATCAGAAGTAATGTGACTCACTGGGTCTAATCCACGAAAACATGTTGAGTTCATATCTAAGCCTTGTATGAATGAACGTAATAGATACATGATTAAGATGTGTACCTAACAGTGTGTATCAAGATCCACGAATCAAGTTTTGAAGTTTAAGATTAATTGGAAAACATTATTTGTCATAAAAAGGCCGAAAACATGCAGCCAAATTCGAAATAACGTGAAATTATCATCAAATTTTCCAATCCCATTGGAAGAATTGCGATCCCATTGCATATAATTGACAAATATTTGACGCATGATACGCACTGTAACAGAGTTATGAAATATATTTTTTTTTTGGAATATTTGGTGTGTAACAACAACACAATAATAAACACTATAGCTATTTATGATATGAGTGTTGAAAGTAAGGTTTTATTTTGTGAGTGAAAAAGTTTGCGAAACGAGCGTAGCGAGTTGAGCAATTTTACGAACGAAATGAAACTTTTAACACAAATATCATACGAAGTTTTTTGTACAACTGTCCTGTTTTCATGATAAAATAGATGAATTTCTTATTTCTATGAAAACACATTTTGACAGTCATTTAACTATTTTCATGTTATGGCATTTGCTGTGAAGTGGCCGTGTCACCTGGTTACCAACACCAGTATCATTTACAGCCTTTTAAACTTTTAAACTACGTATTTTGTAACTTTGACGAGAGGTTCGACTTCTACCTTTGCGAACTTTTTTCCAACCTCCTGCGTGATTTCTGAATTTGTTTGTAAATCTTATACATCTCATTGCTATTTACCTCATCAGTAACCACATATTGAGCAAATAATAGTGCCATTATTGCACAACAGTGTGAAATGGCGTTTGAGATACCCATCAAAATGCCAGCGTGGTTGGGAGATAAATCCATGTGGTTCACGATGAAACCGCTCATGCAAGCACTGTTGAATGCAACTGCCGAAACCAATAGAACTACTGCCATTTCAGGTTGATCTATTCGAATATTCGCAACTATAGCTAGAGCTATTCCTGGTACAAATAATCCTAGAAAAAGAATGTCATCTTATACTTTGGTTCTCATTTGGAATTTGATATACTGAGATTATGGTTAATGTGTTTCGGTCTTTGAGCTGAAAAGAGTTGAAATGATCAATATGGAATGCATGAAGAAATTATTTCTAATAAAGCTGAAATAACAAAGTAGCAATATCTCAGCCTCTATAGTCGGGTTTTTTGCAGAAATTCTTAAACCTAAGAGATCGATGAGCTGAGACAATTTATATTCAGAAAAACAATTTCTATGAGATGAAAATTCATAATAAATGATTCAATTGATGATATTGTTTGTCGGTCTTTGAGCTGAAAAGAGTTGAAATGATCAATATGGAATGCATGAAGAAATTATTTCTAATAAAACTGAAATAACAAAGTAGCAATATCTCAGCCTCTATAGTCGGGTTTTTTGCAGAAATTCTTAAACCTAAGAGATCGATGAGTTGAGACAATTTATATTCAGAAAAACAATTTCTATGAGATGAAAGTTCATTATAAATGATTCAATTGATGATATTGTTTGACAAGGTAGGTAATTTTCTTTAGTTGAGATTGCTTCGGTTTAAGATGAATGTTATTTTGTGATTTTATGACAATTTCTCACTCACATATTCGTCTGTGTATATATATATACTCAGACGGTTCCCTCCTTCAGAAGTGACCTGCTCGGTACTGATGATGGGACAAGTACCCCAAAACCGGTCTATCGTTTGGTCGTATCGACCAAATTAACTTAATTTCTGCTTTTCATTTGCAGGAAGTAACTTGCAATGAATCTTCTAAATGAAAGACATTGCACAGCGACAACGAACTAATCAATACAGTTTATTGTATGATTTTCACAATAAACTGTATTGATTAGTTTTTTAATATGGATTTTCATCAAGTATCGGCCAGTTCTATACAATTAGGTTAGTTGACTTTCCGTCGGATATCTGCGTAGGTACCTACAATATCGTAGGTCCACATGAGAGGCAAGGGGTAAGGTATTTTTCACCTGAACTCTGGGCATGTAATACACCTCTCCGGAATGTCATCATTATTCTGACTTCGACCACGGAGGATGTGTTTGAGGGGTTCTTTCCTGGCTTCGTTTGCAGGTGGCGCAGTAGACATCCCACTGAATCAACTGCAGAAAGAGTTTATGACTAGCTGGAATTCATTTCGTTTGGTTGGGATACTCAGACGTTTAACTCCGTCTGAAGTGACCTGTCCGGTACTGTTGATGGGGCAATACCTCGAAACCGGTCTATCGGTTGGTCGTACCGACCAAGTGAAATTAATTAAATACTTCCTGCTTTTCATATGTAGGAAGTAACTTGCGACGAATCTTCCAAATGGAAGACGTTTCACAGGTGTCTCGTGGTTTTACTTCAGCTTTCTGCAAAATCTCATTCCGAACACGTAACAAACATCACTTTATATAGTAGGGAACGGATCGAGTAAGATCGGTCGACTTTCGAACACTTAACAAACATCACCAGAAGAAGACAAACGAGACTGTGTCGAAACGTCGTGAGATCAATCCCAGTGAGGATAATCACACAAAACACGGATCAAAACCCGAAAATCAGTTCAGCATATTTCTATCCGTTAGAACCTTAGATTTAACATTTCAAACCTTTACGGGAAGAAGAGGTCAATCAAGAAGAAGAGGAATTCAGGAAAAATCAACAATAATATCTAGTAGGAAGCATATCACGTATGGACAGTCTACTTCCGAACACGTAACAAACATCACTTTACCTATATAGTACAGTGCGGATCGAGGTCGGTCGGTCGGTCGACATCCAAACACTTAACAAAAATCACCAGATCACTGGTTAAGAAGAAAATAAAAAGAAGCCGCATATATGTTGTTCAACAACGCATTCAGACAAGCTAGCGTAGATATACGCAACATATGGAAACCTCTGATCAAGCGGAACCTATAAATAATCAGATCTCGGAGGAATAGGTCCAACTCCACTGAGTTACAGGCTCTAAGGCTGGTCGAAAACACCATCAAAGAGCTTAACTCCAACAAAAAAGTTCTGCCCGATCCACCCTCCGGTGGATCGGGTCTTTCCTGAAAGACAGGACATTTCAGGTTAGAGTAGAAGGATCTCTGTCTGATAACAGAGAGATCCTTGCTGGAGTGCCACAGGGGGTCGTGCTCTCTCCGACGTTGTACTCACTTTACACCAGTGACCTTCCGAGGCCCGAGCGTGTGAATATATCTCTGTACGCCGATGACACGGCTCTCCTCTCATCTTCCATGGGTCGGGAGCTCGGCATCGTCTATATGCAACGTGCATTGGATGACCTCGAGCGCTGATACCTTGATTGGAAGATCCGAGTGAACCCGGATAAGACTCAGGCAATAACCATAGGAAGACGGAAATCTTCTCCGGCCAGAAAAGTGAGAATTTCTGGAAGAGAGATTGTCTGGCAAGCGCGGGTAAAGGACTTCGGCCTTCTAATAGACCGTAGGCTCACTTGGAACCCACACACTACGAGCGTTAAATCAAAGATCGAGGGTCGGATAGCACGTCTGTACCCTCTGATCAACAGAAAATCTAAAATGAGTTTCAAAAACAAAATAACCATCTATATAATACGATGTTCAAGCCTGCCATCATGTATGCTTCAGGCGTCTGGGGACAAGCGGCGAAATCTAATATCACCATTCTGGAGGTATTGCAAAACAAGCTATTAAGGATGATTGTGAATGCTCCTTGGTTCATGCGGAATGAAGCCATCCGGAGAGATTTGCAGCTGCCTTCCATTTGGCAGTCCATTCAGTCGAGAAATCAGAGAGTTTTCGATGGTGCAGAAAGTCATGAAAACCCATTAGTCAGGGAAGCTATGGATTATACTGTAGACGACACCTCCCGATATAGAAGGCCCCGACACTCTGTCGAATAAGGTCCCTATATCTTCCGTTGAAAGATGAACAACTTTTTCATTCAACTCACCCCAGCCAGGCAGGGGTACACCGTGAAGGGCAGTACTGATGTCTGAGGACACTCATGCCGCCATACCATCAACACTCACATCAGTTATGACCCGTTTGTCCTTCTGGCAAACATCAGTCCAAAGGGTAAAGGAGCCAGGCTCCCACCTGTCTAAATTCAAGATGACCTTCCGCCGAATAAGTCCAGTTATCACCCGAAGACGATTGTGGATACTAACAATCGAAACATAGTGAAGTAACTTGAGATAACATCATTGATGTTTCATACATGATCTAAAATATAATTTCAACATTTTCTTGAGATATCGGTCCTTGGACGGACTTCATACAATATTGTATGCTAGCTATCGAACATACAACGGAAGATTGTTGCATATTCTCAGCTGTCACACTTATTTTGAAACCATTTGAGGGATTTTACGTGAAGGATCGGGAACAAAAAAAAATTTTTGGAAATTTGTGAGAAAATGATTTTTTTATCAGAGACTGTATAGTGTACCAAATAAGGAATGTTCGACATGTTTGATCTATAATTCTGATTCTTGGAAGTAAAACCATCATACCGAAAGAAAAATGTTCACTTACTTAATTCAACTCAAACAACAAGTTGAAAAATATTTTGATGATGAATCAGGTTATTCATTCATGTACTCACCAAAGAAGTTCATTATTTTTCGGGTCGTTGCAATGGAACAAATTCCTTTATTAATCATTGCATCAGATAAACAGCTGAATAGTGGGCCCGTAGCTAATTGGACAAAATATGGCAGAGAAGACAATAGGCTGTTCTGAAATTTAAAGATAAAGTTTGAAGATTTCCCGAAAAATTGATGTTTCAAAATAGACTGAATGGTTTCAGTTCGAAATGTGTACTCTTCAAAAGGAGTTTATACATATATGTTATATACGTTTTTACTCTCACTTGAAAAAATAAAGTAATGAAATTTTCTAGTTTCAACTCATTGAATGAAAAATTGTTATATTGATGTTCCACAATGGAAGAAAATGCATTTTCAAACTACACACAAAAGTCTTAGACCCCCAATGTGTAATTTAGGTGATGTATGTTTGTTGCGTTTTTGTTGCTAGGTGAAAAAGTTGAACTATCCGGTAAATGAACAAAAAATATTGACGGATAATACATTGGTGATTTGCTTTTAACAGGACAATAATTGTTGTTTTGCATGATGCTTGAAATTCTAATTACAATAAACGAAGAATGTTAAATATTCCAAAATCTTTTATTCTGTGAATTTTTCATAAGGTATGAAAAATTTGGAACAGTGCAAAGAAGGCCACGAAGTGGGTGAACTCGAGTATCATTCGAAAGAGAGGATCGGCATTTGGTTCAATAGGCTCGTGGGCATCGAAATGCTTCAGCCCTTAGGGCTCAGTTTCAAGGTACATTTGGCCGTGTCACAGTTGAAAGAAGACTCCATCGAGCGAATCTTCGAGCAAGAAAGGTACCTACTCTACTTCAATGACACCGTGCTTTTGCTTACAATGTTGCGAGAGGTTGCTTTCTATTGAGAAGGGACAGAAATGTTCATCATGTTTAATCGCTGAACGTTATTGATTCATATACGTGATAATATGACAAGTAGAGAAGTAGAGTCCATATTGAAAATGTTAATAGGTGAGAATTTCATCTTCATGAAAGACAACGGCCCGCCACATTGAGAAAGTATGGTTTGGGAAGAACTGGAACAAGAACAAATTACTCGACGAGACTGGCCACCTGAGTGGCCAGAATCCTATTGAAAACATGTGGGTTTTCTTCCTAGAGCAGTTCGAAACCGCATTAACCCACCCCAAAATGTAGAAGAGTTAATTGCAACAGCAATAGCGGAATGTAATATTGCGCAAGGAAATATCAATCACTTGATTGTCTCAATGCACAGTCATGTCAATATGCTACTGAGGAACAGAGGTCACAATAACTACTAATTGCTGTTTAGTCAGGATGTTTATGTTCCTAATTAATTCACGTGAAAATTGCAATATTTTTTCTGTTGTTTTTGCTGTTGTTCAAATTGCCTAGAAGTATATTTTGCAAAAAATAAGTTCAGAACTGAATCATAGTTGAATTACAATTTGTTATATTATTTCAAAATGAAATAAATCACAAAATAACTATCGGGTATAAAATTTTTGATGTTGTATGCATTTCTATTACATGATGAACTACTCAACTGGGTTTGAATAGGTCCATTTTCGATATTTTTTATGTAATTTCTGAAGTAATTGATATATTTTCCACAACCGTATGTATATTTTTGAAAATACTTTCTATGAGTAATTTGAATGTGGAAATCAGTAAATGACGTTTTTCATAAGAATAGAACATAACTTCGATACGCCATGTTACTATTTAGAATAATGTCATTGGTGATCGAGTACGAACATATAACTGACAACTTCATTTCACCACTTCGAAATTATAATGGGTGTTTGATGCCACATACTGTACTTTTACCAAAAGTATTCCATGCTTGCTAGACAAAATTGCAACATCTGGCAAAAAACACTGTCTCTCGATGGAAGTTTCGCTAACCAAGTTAGCATCATCAGGAGATGACTAGAGTTGACTAATTCTGGTAATCACCTAGAACTGTTCAACTTGTCTGCTAACTTGGTTTAGCGAAATTCGTTACCACAGACAGTATTTTCAACAGAACAATATTCTAGTTGAATGTAATTACAAGAATTTTGCTTTTTAGAATGAAGCGTTTGTAATGTTTTTTATGCTTCATATAGCACACTACTTGTAATCATGTACAATATGAAACACAATAAAGTCATTATCGATCATTGTGCATATTTATGAAAGATCGGAAAAATTGTCTATTTCAATTCAAAGTTTAAATACATTTTAGAGCGTAGAAATCCCTAAGAGCAATACCCTACAAGTGAGGGTTGCAATCCCCAAATAATCCACAGAAAATGGGGGCTTATGAAACAACATTCAAGAGGTTCAGTTAAAAATCAATATTTGCAAAAATTGAATAATTGGAATAACGAAATAAGTCACAATATTATCCGGTCGAATTAGACCAAAAAATAGGAGTAAAGCTATAAAAATTCGCACCTAGCTCAAAATTAGTAAGATAGTTCAAAATACTATTATAAATGAAATCTGAAAAATTCTCATTGATCCGATACCTGAAAAAAAAATTACTCGGGGTGAGAGATCACAAAAACGGGTTTTTTCGCGATTTCCAGCATAACGGTCAGTTTTATCAGGAAAAAATTGTAGATCAGATAATCATCTATAAACAAATGCCTGAATATTTTTCTCTCAAGAGCCACCGTTTCTGAAACATAACGATTCAGAAAGTTGGAAGTGTTCTAATCGTCATAACAATGCACACGTTTTCACGCCACCTTTGAGGTAGTGTACTTTTATAACATGGTTCCCCTGGTAGGCCTATTGCAAGGATCTGTTTTGTTTCTGTTTGATTTCATACTATTGAATACTGAAAGATATTGACAAGGGTTGAAAATGATGATAGCGGTGTGAATGAAAAAAAAAATAGGAGAATTTGTTCTTCTGATTCAAAATTCTCTAATATTTCGGCTTCCTCTTATTCTTGTTCTTCTTCTTCCCCTTTTTCTTTTTCTTCATCTCGGGTGAAGTGATAAATCCCGTGTCTCTTCATTGGTATCGAACGAATCCTCAACTGTTGGTGATGCAACATTGAAGCACGACCGGCCTTGACAATTTGGACATACTAAAGAATGAAACAGTCCAACTTTTTCGCAACCACATTGAGCACTACACCCCTCTTTACAGTTGCATAAAATTGTGTTCAGAAATTTTTCCGGCGCAGTCTTTTGGGCCCTAGCCCCAAGACACACTTGAACTTCGTAATATACCCGTAAAAAATGTTGATGAGCAGCCGCTGAGGTTGGAGGAAACAAGTTAATTGCACTTGTTTTTCATTTCGAGTATTTTCAACGAAATATGCATATTGAATTACTCTTTTTCAAAACTTCAGCACATTGAACTGAATCTTGTTCTTCATACATTTCAAAAACTGTTGTTTCACCCTTCCTAAAAAATGCAGATATCACAACCAGTTATTGCGTGTAAAAATAAGCATGAATCTGATACTTTGCAAAAGCAGATGAACTTTTCGATGAATATACGAAAAATTGTTTTTTCGATTTGAGTTCGAGTGGTGAGTAATACGAGTAATTCTACATCTTCCCCTACAGCAATAGTTGTATTTTTTGGATTGAATTGCGCTATTGCTGTTTGAGTTATCATTACATCAGCACCATCATTAGCTTGTTATCAATATTATCAATATATTTTCAGCAACATTGAAATGAACCGAGTTTTGTTGTGAGTTTCTGCAAAAAATTCTGTTGAGTGGTAAAAACTGCCATAGATTTATTAAATCAAATATCAGACGATGAAGATAACTTTTTGAATCGTTATATCTCAGAAGTGGTGGCTCATAGGAGAAAAGGATCGTGGCATATTTTATGATAAAAATTACCGTTCTGTTGAAAACCACGAAAAACCCGTTTTTGTAACTTTTGACCCCGAGTAAATTTTTTTCAGGTATCGAATTGATGAATTTTCCTGCCATCTTTGAGCTGGGTGCAAATCTTTGTACCCTTGGATGTCTAAATTGACCGGAATGAAGACGGATTACATATGGAACTAATTCTCCATAGGCCCTGAGTAATAGATATTGCCAAGACTACTACGATGAAATTTATGTTTTAGTGTTTTGCTGACGTATTTCAGAATATTTTATTTTTAATATGAAAAATAACTGAACTAATGAATTTATTCTTCTTCTTTTTGATAGTTCAGTATTGCTCGCAGCACTGCTACTGCCAGGAATCAACTTACCGACTTTATATCGAAATGCATAACTCCACTCATATAAAGGGGCATTTGAGTTTGCAATGTCCAATAACCCCATACAAAACCACATTGTGTAATTATTAGTGTCCAGAATGGACCTGATAACATCATTTTGATCCAGGGCGTCGGAATTTTCTGCAAATTCATGAAACTTTGTTAGAAATCAACTTCAAATTATTTACACAGGTTCATTTGAATATTACTTGTTTCATAATTGTACAATTGAAACATACTTCTATATCCTGAATGATCATAAGTTTTCTCACAGCCTCGTTGTCCAGTGGAGTCCAAAGACTAATGAACTGTGATGAGTTCTACTGTAAGTGTATTGAAATTTTATATTTTTTTATGGATTCTAATAAGATTTTTACAAAATAGTGGAAATTCGTGAAATCAATTCAGCAGTTCTGTACATTCATTTGGGCCTACTGAATTCTGGACTGTTGTTATTTTATCTCAACCCTGAAATTGATTCAATGTGTGTACTGCTGTCGTTGTCATTTGCCTTGTATTGTAATAATATTTTTACAAAATAGTTACAATTTATTGAACTAATTCAGCAGTTCAGTTTATTCATTTGAGACCACTTGGTTCATCTAAAAATATTAATTCATTCAATAGATTTTCAACTGTTGTTTTTTAGCTCCCCGAGCTTTCGCTAACGTTTACTAGCTTTATCGAGGGCTGTAATATAAAGAAACACATAATAAGTATAGATATAAAACATAATAACGGAAAAATCAGTAACATTTCTGTATTATGTGAGGATTATTACTTTATGAATTTTAATTTTGAGAGAAATATTGAACATGAGAATGACATTTTTGACATTGAATAATGTGGAATACTCTTTGCTATAATTTTTTAAAGTCGATTATCATGGTGATTTATATTGTTTGAATATTACAGGATGTATTCAGGTTTATTTTTGTTAGTAAAAATTAATGAATTTTGCTGAGATTGTCCATGTCTGTCTTTTTGTTGATATTGTTTTCTTCAATTTTAATTCCAGACATCTCTAGAAATTGCCTTTTACTTGAATCTGATTCGAAATGGAGAATTTTGGTGTTAGTATAATCGACAGAATGATCATTATCTAGAATGTGTTGTGTTAGAGCACAAGAATTTCGTTTTATTTTCTCTATTCGATTTTTTAAACCAAGAACTAAATTAATTTTCATTTTTTGTGGATGACAGGATAGATAGTTTATACATCTGCCTGAATTAAAGGGTTTAGTAAAATAATCTAATATAACAGAGTTATCGTCTTTTCTGATTGAAAGAGTATCTAAAAACGGTACAGTTTTGTTTTTTTCTTTTTCTATGGTGAATTGAATAAATGGATGGTAATTGTTAAAAATAGTTTTTTCACTACTAAGCTGAGAAATTGCTATTATTTACTCCATTCTCCTAACGATAATTAATATTTCTCATCCTTGGTAAATAATGATGATAAAAAAACACCTAGGTTAATAATGAGAACAATTTTATAATTTTAAAGATATTCACAGAAACTGTTGTTAACTTAATTATCAACTAGAAGTAGGAAATTGGAAATACGCTTGAAAATTATTTGAAATTATAATAAATTGTACATTTGTGACAAATCAGGCGGGGGTACACATCATTTCTAAATCATCGTCACTTGAATTTTCACCCATTTTTCAATTAATTATATTGACGTTTTAATCATATAGATTTTTTAATTTCTTCAAAATGACATCTAAATTTGAATTAAAACGGCATTTGACAAACTGAGATCATATAACTAAGGAAATTTTTTTCTCACTATAATGCAATTCTAAGCTCTGAACATACAGAAGCGATGAGAGTAGTGGAACATTGAAATATATCAAAAATGCAAAGAGATATTTCCTAGATTCATATCAAAATTTGACACATGCCAAATTTTTACAATTACAAATACATAATAAAAAATAATAAAGCCAGTCTGATTAGAAACACGCTCCAGTCTACTTGATATTCCGATATATACAACAAATTGTTAGAAAACAACTAATGCCAAAATTAAAATTGTTAATATATCAATGTTAGTAGTGATAAAAATTCTCGGCGCTATGCGCCTCCGGATATAAAAATGCTCGGTAAATAATAGCTCACTTCTCGCCCTAGGTATATAATATACTATTTTATATCATCAATTTTGTCAAAAGGTACAGCACATATTATAACGTCCACAAACTTTTTTAAAAAAGGAATCTGAAATGACAATTTTGGAATACATTCATGTAATGAATCATCCATAACATATTGGGCAAGAATAGGTGATAAAGTTGATCCCATTGGAGTAACAAGTATTTGTTTGTAATAGTCGTTGTCATAAACGAAAACAGTAGTATCAAAAATGAAATCTATTAATGAATCGAAGAGGTTTTGTATTAAAGTGTGTAATATTTTAAAATTCTTGCAAAGCGCTTTCGACTTTCGTCATCATCAGTGCTCACCTGAAAGTAAGTGATCTAGTTGAAAAGGGAATTTAGTGAAATTGAAGTTGTAAAATTTTTTAAGGTTAAGAAATTTGGAAAATAAGTTTGAGATTACTTACTTGTCAGGCAAGAGGAAGTATCAAGATAAGTGAATTGTACATTGTAATATTTGAATTATATACAACAAAATAGGCTTATAGTCAATAAAATACATTTTTGGATTGAGGCCATGTGGTTCAGTCACAGTATCTTATGAAGAAGGACAAACAATGATCATTGTTGGAAAGTTCTTTAGAAATCTCCAACTCTTCAAACAAGTCAAGTCTAAGGAAATTTTTATTATCTATTTTATGTACATAAGTTATTATTATAAGTTATTGTAACAACATACTGAATTTGAAAATACGTTGATAGTTGACTGTTTCGGAACTTTTGGAGTACGCAATATATACCTAGGTGCATTAAATATGATGTTGAAGTGTTATGTTTCTATCATTTAGCATACTCCATTACCTATACAGTGTTTCTTCATTCATTTTCATATTATATTCCGTTTCGAATGCATGAATTATTGATTTGTGCTCTTTATTCTTTGAAATAATTATGGAAAAAATAATAATCGAACGATAACGCAAGTAGCGATCGATTGAAAAAGGAAACAATGAAGCAATTTCTCAATATGGAGTGTTGCCTCCTGTAGTTTTGGCAATAGTTTCCATTCTCCGAGGCATTCCACGAATTAGCGTTTGAATATATTATTCCACTCCGCAACAGGAGCTGCTCACCTTGACATTTCCAGGGGAGCATGCTTGATCGTTGCATATGACGAATACCAAGAGGAAACGCAAGTATTTATTCAATGATTGATGAATTTGAAACGAATCGTGATATTGAAAAGATTGGAGAAACAATGTTCAGGAAATGAACCAAGCTTGCACATAGTATAGTTGTGAGTCTCATCCTAAATCTGTTTTTCACCAAAATGTGTCTTAAATCTAGATGATAGAAACATAACTGTGTTTTCCCTCGTATAATGTCTATTAACCGTACTTCATTAGAATGTGAATTTATCTGGCATTTATTTCCTTCTATTCATTGAAGAAATTATCAAATTAAAGAGTAACAGATAAAAAAGTTTGGTTGATATTTCAAGCTGGTTGATTTTCACGCACCTAAGTATACCAATAATTTTTAACAACTGTTTATAGTAAATATAAAAGATTCTTTTAAATATCTACCAATTTTATGAAATAATGAAAGACGCACTTACTTTGGTCGAGTCTTGTTGCCCCAGACTGTTTTCGATATAGAATCGTTCTTCACGGGATATTGTTGGGTGGACAGCTGGGGAATTACACCCAATATATGCAAACATGAGGCACCAAACCAAACCCAATCCATTGAACAAGTATAATGCCATTGGCCATCCGTACCATCCAGCAGATATGTAGCCTGTTAGTAGCATGCATACCACCGTTCCAACGGGGGAAGCTTAAAAATGTTGTGTCAAATAAGTTGCAAATATTGATGAATTTTTACAACGAGTTGCTTCGAGAAATGAATAAATACAATGTAGAGATTTCAGATCGAACAATTTCACAGGTCGATTTTCATTTTCGCACATGTATTTTCACCACAATCAACCTTCTGCTGATCTTGAAATTTTTCATTACATGAATGGTTGAGCTACACTTAGTTTCCAGAAATCAATTCAAATAATTGATTAAGTAGGAACTTTTTCGCACTGTTGCACTGTCGCACTGTCGTGTGTGAATTTGTCTACTTATTCAAAATATATTTTGAATTGGTTTTCTACGTCAGATTCAGCAACAATTTTTATCTTTCAGCTATGAAAACGAAACTTATTTTTCTTTAATTCATTTATTTTTGTGAAATGTTCTGCCATTGTCATATGCAATACTAATGTAAAGCTGATGTTGAAAGTTAAAATTGTAGTAGTGCTCTTTGGAATGCGTCATTCAACCAAAACGTATAAATATCCACATAGAAAAAAATTCTTCAGAAAGTACAGAATGAATTACATAGAATAACAATGTAAGTCATATAAAGATAACAAAACTGTTGAAAGCCAACGAAATACATCCTTATGAAGTTAAGCAAATAGTTATGTTTCTTCATCTACAGTGGAGAATTACATTTAAATTCTCCGAACAATATTTGCTGTTGCTTTCAAAAATGAACTATCTTATCATGCATTCTAAATTTATCAAAATGTGCCCATTATTTGATTCGCAACACAATACATGTGGCTTTGAATTGGAATAATGATTATCAAAATTTTAGAGATCTCTACACAAAACTCTACACAGAAGTCTTAATGATATTTTTATGTTATGGTGTGTATGAGAACGTGGTGACAGAAGAAATGATGGGTTAATAGCTAATATGGATATGTTTAATTTACTGAGAGCTGACAGAAATTTGCAGGTGACAAATAAAACTATTGGTGGTGAAGTATTGATAGCGCTATTTGAGTAAAAATGTAAAATATCTAATTTTTTAAATATTGCGATGTTTTTTCAGGCAGAAGCTATATTTTGTTCGACTGATAACCTATTTATTTTGTAGAAATTCCTATTTATTATAATTCATATTCAATGTAGGATAAAGAAAATGACTCTTGTCTGATTTCTGCTGAGTTTCTCATTTGTTACGATTGGTTTCGGTTCGTTAAAGCATTTTCAATTAACTTGAAAATAATTTAATAAGTTTATTTGAAAATGGTTCAATACTTCAAAACCGAGTACTGATTAAGATTCTTCCAGATATGAATGTCAGTTCATTTATGGAGATGAAATATCTGAAATATTCGCAGAGTTTTTCTCCACTATCTGAATTCAGCAGGGTATGATACCTCTTTATACTTTAAAAGGTTGGTATGAGTGGTTACACGGTCAGATTCTATTTCTCGAATATTTTCCTGACTAATGGAAAATATCTGAATTATTGCACTTCGTTAATCTGGAAGCAAAGTTGACGCAAACATCGATAAACACTAATTTATTCAAAAAGTCACCAGGTATTTCGAGACTATAATGCAAATCCCAACTAGATACAGTGTATACTGATTTCCAGAAAGCATACGTTTTTTCTGAAAAAACTACAAATTTGGAATTCCATACAATTTTTGAAACTATTCCTCTGATATCTCACAAGATAGATAGTTCATAGTGAAGTTCAATGATAACGTTTCTGTACGATCTTTTCTTTGTTTTGGAATATTCTATTTGCGGAAGATCTAAATATTTAAGAAAGAAAAGAAAGTATAAAAGGCTTAGGGGTTAGGTTCATTAAAACTTTTTTTTTCACAACTAAAATCAACAATATGCTCAGCTCAGCAAACAGAACGTTGCGCTTCCTTATGAGCCATGTATTTTTCCACAATCTAAATGTTATGAAGTTTCTAAGCAATAGTTTAGAATACCCCGGTTTCAATTTGCTTCCTTAATTTGGTTGGAAGAACATGTAATAATTTTGAATGAAATCAGGAAACTACAAAATAAATACGAACAACCTGAATACGAACTGATTTCAGGATATTGTGGATAAAAAAATAAATGCTTTAGAAATTATTTCATTAGTTTCATCACGAAGCACTAAACGAGCTCCATTTCTTGATATTCCTTTGGAATTCCTACTTCTAAAGCACCTTTTACTATTATTCTTCACTACTCAATAGAAGATAGTGGAGTATGTTTTTCTTTCTAGCTTTATAGTCCAGTCATTATAGTAAGTTCACCTCGGAATTCGAGATACCCAGCTGTAAGTCTGTAAATACTTGTATATTGACCCCCTAAAAGTTGTCTCAAGACCTACATATGGTAGGGTGTAAGCAACTATTAAATTTCAAGGTCAAAGGTCACAAAAATCGTTTTTTTTGCACTTTTTTTGGAAATATCTCATTTCCTATGGGTTTTTTGCTATTTGTATTCATTATCAATATTGTAGAATACAAANATATATCTTAATCGAATGCGCTAGAAAATTTCGCCGAAATGCCATCGAAATCGGTAGCATTATTCTCGCTACATCTAGAGCGGCAGTGAACATCATACATTCGCGCGCTCTTAGCTACATCACGATTGGTTTATGGCTACGAGTGGCGGCCGGCATGATTTACAACACTATATATTATTTGCAATCATATATCAATTATTTCCAATTGCACAACCGACATTTATTCAAGCTAAAATCCTTTTCACAATTGTACTTCCTAATAAAAGTTGGTAGTGGACAGTTCCCAACCATCTCTCTTTATCGTTCGGGCATCTCTGGGGCACAGCTAGATTTGCCAAGCTGTAGGTACTAGGAATGAACTTTAGAAATTATTTTTGTTCTGGTGTGAGAAAAGTTTTTTCAATAGCTTGGGACATCCTGTATATTTCTTCAGCCGTTTCAACCGTGGCTTCTCCGCGATTGTTGAAAGTGGCGTGTTATTGAAACGTTGCTCGTGCTGTCTCGATGGAGTTGATGGCGTGCCGTATCCATCCCGAGCTATCTACACCCTACCATATGTAGGTTTTGAGACAACTTTTAGGGTGTCAATATACAAGTATTCACAGACTTACAGCTGGGTATCTCGAATTTCGGGATTCTTACCTAATTTAAGCTTAAATGACTGGATTATTACATTTGTAAACATCATAAGTTTTTGAGACCCGTTTTTATATCAAGACATTCATTCAACTTATTTTGTTCAAATTAATCCAATTAAATGAGCTTTGGAGCTTTTAAGGATGAATGAATAAATGAATGAATCATAGGTTTTCACATTGTATGATCTATTCAATATTCTATAAAATATACCTATATAAACGAAGGTTCCTAGTCGACTTCTTTCTGGCGACGGCACCCATTTGGCTAGTAAACCGTGTACAGATGGAAAAACAAATCCTTGACAGAATCCTTGCAGTGCCCTACAGAACATGACACCCTTTGAGTCAAATGTTGCAGCTAGCGTTGGGAGTAGGAGACCAGCCACAGAAGTTACTCCCATGGTACCTATCAAAAACCACTTGGGACCAAACCTTGATGCTAACCATCCTGCACTTACTTGAGGGAAGATGTAACCCCAGAAGAATGACGACTGAATGACATTTTTGTCGGTCCAGTTGTAAGTCTGTGAGCAATTGAAATACTTGAATTTTCAATGTATTTTTCTAAAAGTCCAAAAACATTCATTTTACATTATGTATTGATCGGTTCAAGCAGCAAAACTATAATTCATCATTCGAGTATATTGTATGTACAGGGTGTCCCACGTATATACAGGGTTTACTCTCGGAAATGTATAGATGGGGTCAAAATATCAGCAGTACTTCATATAACTTTCGTTCCTAAAATCCTTCGTTACCATGTTACGGGCCCTCAAAGTTGCAAAATGAAAAATCTTTTTCTCTGACAACTTTTCAAGTGAATTTTCAAAATCACGAAATTTTGGTGATTGACTGAACAAATGAATTGCTTTGATGAGCTTTCATGCAGGAGCCAGTTGTTGTGCTACAAAGTCAGAAACGAACTACCCCCGATGGTCCATCCCCCAAAACTTTGAAATAACAGATATTTGCGGTTGTTGTGACTGCATGGCAGTCACTAGCAAAACTGCACGTTTATTGGCCAAATATTAACATTGATATCATTCATGAAAAAGAAACATGTATTTCATGTCAACAGTCCCGAAAAAATGACAGAAATGCACCACTACATCCATGGGGTATATCCCAAACCCTTGATATTGTCTTCATCTGGACTTTGCGGGACCTTTTGAAGGTAAAATGTTGATGATACTGATTGACTCCTATACGAATTGGTTAGAAGTTATACCGATGAACAACATTACATCTAACTCTACCTATAGATATTCTCCGTTCGATATTTGCTAGACTGGGTTAACCCAAGATCTTGGTGACGGATAATGGGCCACAACTCACCTCAAGTGAATTTGAACATTCACACCTTCAAAGAACGAATGCGAGCCAGTAACCAAAATCTAAATCAGTCACAAAGATTTGCAAGTTAACTATTTTCCTACATAAATACCGTAAAAAGATCGACAAACAAGAACACCAAGTCAAATAATGTTCGGTCGGCATTCTAGATCACGATTTGACCTTCTAAAACCAGATGTTACTGAAAATATGGAGTTGGAACAATTCACTCAAAAACTAACCATAACTATTCAGCTGCTCCACTGCATGATTTCACGAAGGGAGATGATGTATGGGTAAATATGCCTTCAGGAAAGGGTTCCGAGACGGCAAAAGTTGTTAGGCAGTTTGGGCCATTGTCACATCTCATAATTGTTGATGGTATTTTATGCCGCAAACATTGCGACCAAATGAGGAGAAGAATCTCGGATGTAGTATCTAATCAGGTGTTAAACCATCGGATATACAATGTGCTGCCGACGAATTAGAAAGTCACCCTGATACTAAACCAAACAAAGGTTCCCAAAACGAACCATCACCAAGCGACAAGTTCGAACAAAAACATCATCACAATATACCATGTGAAATTCAACCTCGGAATGTTGAAGAGAAAGTCAACAAAGAAGAGTCCCCAAGTCAGGCGCCATGAAGAAATCCTTCAAGAAACAGAAGGCTCTCTGTTTGTTTCAGGGAATGAGCTTATCATTCGAGGGGAGGAATTTGGTATAACTGAGTGAGTGACATTCTTCCGCTAACACAATCAGTCGATCCGACAGGTTGGTCCGAACAGGACTGGATCACTCGTTAATTAGTTATCGACAGTTTATGAAAACAGTGTAATTTTGTGTTTGTTACATCCACTCATCATACTACACTTGATTATTCATTTGTGTCATCCCTGTTGTGTTGTTGCATTGACGTTATCATAATTATTTCTGCTGTGAAAAATTTTCGTTTCGAATAATGGTAGACATCTCAGGTTAGAAAAAATATTGAAAAATATCTGTCGTTTCAAAGTTTTGAGGGTGGACTAGTGATTCCTGCATGGACGTTCATCAGAACAATTTATTTGTTCAGTCAATCACCAAAAATTTGTTTATTTTGAATAATCACTTGAAAAGTTATCAGAGAAAAACATTTTTCATTTTGTAATTTTGGGGGCCGGTAACTTGGTAAAGAAGAATTTTAGGAATAAAAGTTATATGAAGTACTGCTGTAATTTTGACCCCATCCATACATTCCCGAAGGGCAAAGAGGAATTCCAGGGACACCCTGTATAAACTTATTTGAGATATAAACACTGGAGTGCAAAACCAGTTCAAATAATCATATATCGATATCTACTATGAAAGATGACCTGAAACATTCGAACATTTCTAAATGTTTTATTTATTTACCATTGTTAACGATGGATATACTTACTGGAATATCTTTATTTATACTGGCGTTAGGATCTGTCATCGCAACGATCGCAACAGACATATTGACTCTTACACAGAAAGAAGTGAACATGAGGAGAAAGTAGACAATCATCTGGACATGCCTTTTACCGAATCTGGGACCGGTAGCATCTGTAGGAAAATCAAAATTATGTATTAATTTATATATGAATGGTATATTTTGTCAAAATTCATACGCATTACATTTATGCTTGATTTCTTAAAAATGTGTTCAAAAATACTGCAAATTTTTGTTATTTCTCTGAATTTCAAATAGTTTGAGAATAGAGAGGTTGGAGAACATTGAAAAAATGCTGTCAGTGTCATTCGAACCAGGTTTACAAGCAAGAGTTCTACCAACTATTACACTAATCTAGCTTACAAACTGAATAATATTCCCATTTCAATTCTAACGAAATGGTTGTGACTAGGATTGAATCAAATAATCGTATAAATGTTTTTACATACTGTCATCGTGACATGAGGTGATTTGTCTCTTCCGGTGTTACAAAGTTGTAATTTTGTGCAAAAAATTGTTTTGTTTTCGCTTTCAAGAGTCCAAAGGTGCGTTGATGAGACATTGGGGACAGTTGGTTTAGACCAAAACTTCGAATACTTTTCGAGAACAATAGATTTCCATGTAAATGAAATAATCATGTACACTTATATATTATTTTATGTACTACATGGCCTGAAAAGTCTCAGGACTAATACCTAGATGGCACTAGTCGTATTGCATTCAGTTGCTTGCTTTTCCAGTTGGTACTGACCTTCAAAAAGAAAGCTGTTGAAATTTCATGATATTCTACTAATAGGTTTGTGTGTTATTGTGCTAAGAGTGACACTACTTTTGTTATTTTCGAAGCAATGGATCAGAATTGATTTCGTGTTTTGATTTTATACTGCTTTTTGATGGGAAAATTAACCGTTCAAGCGAAGCAATGGTATTAGGACTCCGCTCCGGCAAAAACAATTAAACGTTTGTCGTAGAGACACCGATGATGCAAAACGAACTATAGTCCGTTCATAATTTGTTGATAGCTCACTGCAAGTTTGACCCTCATTAGAGAACTGAAATACAGAGAGGATAGCTAATAACAGCTAATAATAACAAAAACCAAACTAAAACTGGCAGTTTAAGATGTTTTCGACTAACCCACCTTGTATCTGAAGAAATACAATACAGCTATAAAACTTTTAATCCGATTATGTAGGTATTTTGAGTGGAAATGAGTGACCAGTGTCGTAGAGTATATGATTAAAACATTAGTTACTTTAAATAAATAAATATATTAATATTCTTAAACTGTAGGTACTGTAAACTGTATTTTTATTT